ACAGGTCAGGTAAGCAAAGAAGAACATTTGAAACCTCAAAGAGACCATTTGAAACCTTCCAAAAGGTATTCAGGGATGACTTTCTTTCGCTAGCCTCCACTTCTCTTATGATTTCCATTTTGGTGACCAAACTTATACATCTACACTTTTTAAACTTTTTGAAGTAGCTGACGAGGCAGGCTTATCTTGCTGGCCCTTTTATCTCTATTTTGCTGTTCACACATGCTCAGTAAGGGATTGTGGAGGAGCTGCTGTTTAACTTAGGAACTGTACAGATCGGCCAAAAGGGTCAGCTTGGGGGTGGAGTGGGGGCCGCACGCCAGCCGCCCCCATGCTGCCATCACACCGCCCACCCGACCAGATAACAGGCGGCATCAGGGCGCTCCCTTGGAGCAGCGTTCTCACATATTGCACCAAAGGAGTGTGGAAAAGCTGCCATCATTGCAGCGGTGGTAAGGGCAGCTTTTTGCCACTCTAAAAAGAAGTAGCATTTGCCAACTCTTTTTAGAGTGGCAAACCACTGGATTGGGGCCAGGCCGCCACCCCTTAGGGCCATCTGTTCAGCCCCTTATTTGTTGTAGGTAGGCACACACATCTGCAGTAGGATTGGCTAGAAGAAGTTCCCATTCTTATCCCAGCTCAAGCTTTATTATAGTGTTACTTGCAGACACGATAATGCAATCCAATATCATAAGCCTATGTTTCTCTACTACATCTTCACCATCCTCCCAAGGCCATTGATGCTTTAAAAAAAAACCTTCTACAAAATATAGGCCAAGGAGGAAAGGTGGCTGAGCAGGCCTAAAAAGACATTGTAAAAAGGAACTTTCCGTCAGAGGTTTTATTAACTGAGGTATTCCTGTAATTATATTTGTGAGAGAGCATCCAAAGAACCATACCTATTAATTAATTATTTCATGAGATTAGATGCTACTATTACTACTGCTATGCTTTTATTACTGTTTGTGGGTTATACACTTAAAGCGTTTTCTCCCTTTTTGAATATGGAAAATCTTTATATTACCACTCTTTTATAGCATGACCAGGTTGCCCAAAACCTGGTCCATGTTTTGGATTTAATATGTGACTTTCAAAAATCATTCATTCTTCCTGAGGAAAAAATTATTGATGAGTGTGAAGAACTGAATATTTGGTGGCTATTGCATTGGCAATAATCCATGTGCATCTGTGCTTGCTTTCCAAAGGACCCTAAGAGAAAGGAAGAAAACAGCACGAGGCATCAGTATGAAATTAAGGTAGTACTTGTCTGCATAAACACTGCCCTACAATTGCATTGTCTAAGATGGGTGGGCAAAGTGTGGCCTCTCCTGTAGGCTCCAAGTGCAGCAGTTCACCTCTGAAATAAGTTACAGCCCCCTTGCACTCACTGTTTAACTTAAACATTAAAAACCCAGTTTTAAAAAAAACCAGAATTGGACTTTGACCACTTCCAGTTTTGTATTTCATCTTTTACCATCTTCAGGAACAGAAAGTTAGTCTTGGGCCTGCTGCAGTTGCCCATTCCTGTTCTAGGATGTTGATAGTTTAAGATGTTCACATTATGCTCAGTATGGCAAGAGGTTCCATGTTGGGCAAAACTTTTTTAAATAGGAGTGGAGAGTGAATGTCTGCAGTTGGTGTGTGGCTTGTATTATTTTAGTGTTATGAAAAATATTGTGTTAGCTGTTTAGTATGCAGGTTAATAATATTGCCATTTGTTTACACTGAATGTTGTTTACATCAAGATAAAAATTGTTTCATTTTGTCAGAATGTTTAACATTGTCCATATTGATTTACGTATTATAACATCAACTATTTTCAGTGGTTTAGTATGTAATTTCTAAGGGCAATAATTTATTAGTTCTTCACCCACATATGTATTACCCGTATTTTCCGGCGTATAAGACGACTGGGTGTATAAGACGACC